CTGTGTGTGTGTGTGTCTTTTTTTTTGGGTGTGTGGAAGTGATATGACAATCAAATTAGGGATTCGGTGAGTCCACAACCATGAGAACTAGACTCTTCAGTCCAAATTAGTGAGTTTGCTTTGCAGTTGGTAGTATATTGAGACAAAATGATAGAAAAATTTGAATAAGGAAAATTTTGTCCCATAAAATTAATTACAAGTACATGGAATTAAATTTTGATTCAACCCGAGCTCGCGTTCTACAGACATATAAAATGTTGCATTATTATTATTATTTTTATTGCTTTCATAATAATTATGTTTGCATTTTTTATTTCAAATTTTATAATGTTTGATTAAGAGAGGGTTTTACAATTTATTCTGTCCATCTAATCACTTTATGTCAAATAGAGAATATTTATTTATTTCCCAACTTCATCCAAAAAATTGAATTTTGATTTTTTTTTCTTGATTTTTTAGATAACCAAATAAAAGTTTTAAATTTTTTTAAAAATTGAAGTCAGAATTTAAGAATCAAACAGGGTGATTAGTTTTTGTTACAGTATTAAAATTTATAAATTTTTTTTTTGTATTTGATGCTATAGTAAAATTTTTATTTTTGTATTTGATTGAGATGTTTAATATTTTTATGTTTTTTTGTAATTAACATTAACACATAATTATATTGTTATTAATTATTTTTATTTTTATTTTTCAGATATTTCCCATGTAGGAGTGTGCTTCTTGTGGAATGCATGCCTGTGAAGAATGTGACTAATTTTTGTTTTTGTTATCTACGAAAAATGATGAGAAAAACATTTAATTTTGGTTTATGTTATTTTGAATTATGAACAAAATCATGTATTTAAACATTATATATGTATAATGGAACATTATGTAGTGGAATAATTTTGTTAATGTGTAATTATGAATGGAAGAATATTTTTTTATGAAGAAATTGCTATTTTTATACTAGAAATTTTATATTATTATGTAATTATTATGGAGAAATTTTAATATTTTTAATAATTTTGTCGGAGGATGTTTTTTTCTTTTTTGTGATGGCACTACACCGTCGCAAAAAACATAAAATTTTAATATTTTTATTGATTTTGTTACAGGTTTTACTTTTTGCGACGGCACTAAACTGTCACAAAAAATAGAAATTTTATTATTTTTTATTACTTTTTGCGACGGCAGTACACTGTCGCAAAAAATAGAAAATTTTCATATTTCTAATACTTTTTGCGACGGCACCACACCGTCGCAAAAACTGTGTTCTTGCCGTTGCAAAAAAAAGACTATTAGCGACGGCTTTTTTTGCCGTCTCAAATAACATTTTTAGCGACGGTAAAATAGTGCCGTCGCAAAAAGTCAAGAAATTTCAAACATTATTAGCGACTGCAAAGTGCTGTCGCAAAAGGCAAAAATGCCATCGCAAAACTTTAGTGACGGCATTGTGCCGCCGTCGCAAAAACTCTTTTGCAACCCCCCCAATTGCGACCCGCCTCTTGCCGTCGCAAAAAGTCATTTGCCGTCGCAAAAAGTTTTTTGCGACAACATTAGGAGTATTAGTGACGGCATTTTACCGTCTCAAAAAACAGAAATTTTAGTAGTGTAGGCCATTTGTCTCATATGGTTTGTGTTTCAATTCTATGTTCCTAATACCACTTTCGAAAAATTTATTTACAAGTTACCATGGAAGTTATATCATTGTTTTATAAATGAAGCACTTTTTTAATATGTGTGATATTTGAGTTTAAATCTTATTATTAAGTATTATAATTTCTATTTTATGTCATTGATTAAATTAAAAAAAAATGTTGTCTTAAGCTTGATGTATACCAAAAGAATTGTAAATAAACTTACTTGAACGAACTCAAATTTATTGAAAGTAGAGTTTTCAAAAATTCCACATTTATCCACTCAAATTGCCTAACCCATACCCATCCGCTGTCACTAAGTAGTTTGAAAGTATTAGCATGTGTCATTGTTGGCTTTTTTGGCTTTCGAAGGTTAGTATTGTAATTTTAAGCGTGCCAGCAAGGATCAATCAGTCCTTACAGAAGATTAATTGTCAACCGATTATCAGACGATTGTGTTTTAGTTCTTTCAACCTCAATAAAAAGAACTTTTACTGGTGGCTTGTTTAGGAGAATTTAGTAAATAAAAACTAAATGAAGAATAATTTTAGAATTTCATTAAGTAAACTAAAAAACTTACAATGATCTGACTCAACCTTGTAGAGGTTTACAGTAGCAAACTATTTAAAACTACTCCTATAAATGAAGTACAGTACAGGAATTTGAAGTACAGAAATGTAAAGAACTGCAAAAACTAGAAGGGGAAAACAAAGTAAATAAAACTAGCTTTTGATCTGAGTCTGGATCTTCCTTTCTAGGGCCTGCTCTACTATTTATACTTCTCAATGATAATTGTCGAAGTGGGCTTCTAACCGTCGAAATGCCCTTCATGATTGCTGAACATGCTCTCTCACAGTCAGTTCCACTATGCCACATTTGCAGTTAGGCTTCCTTCTTGATTTTGAATTTGAACCTTGTAAGTAACCGTTAGGCCACATCACCTTATATCCCTCGATCATTCCAGTGCTACGCAGACCCATTATTACCAATATGGGCTGACTTGTGTCTGATTATGGTTGGCAATTTGTATTAACTCTCCAAATTGCATTTTTCAAGCCACGTGTTGAATTGTGATTGGTTTATACAAATTATACAACCAACAGTCATATTTGAGTTTAAATTTCACTATTAGATTTTATAATTTTTTCTTCTCTTATTTTCCTATCATTGATTTTTTTTTTATTTAAAAAAAAAAGTGATTGCCTTAGGCTTGATGCATGCCATGAGAATGGTAAATAAACTTAATTTCTTATAAACAATTCAAAATTATTGCAAGTAGGCATTTGCAAAATATCCATCTACAATTCAAAATTTTCAACTCTGCTTTGCCATCCGTGGCTTGAAAGTGTAGTAATATTAAGAACACAAAAATTAAACATAGAATGGGATACAACCTTTTCACAAAGGATGAGTTTTACATATGTATTAATGTAATCTTCATATGCATGTGTGCTTTTTCCATTAATAAAGTTCCATTTCTTTTGTCGAGAAAAAAAAAATGGTGTAAGTTCTACATGTAGGCTTCACCTCTTGTGAGAGGGTTATATCCCATTATGTATTTAATTTCTGTACATATAAATTTACTTTTGAAAGTATTGACTGTTTTTAGTTGGACCAAGTATACAGTTGTGTGTGGTTTACAATTTTTAACACGTCCAAATAACCAATCTAACCCTCCAATACTTATAAATCTTCTCATTTTTCACTTTCATCTCTCCCTCTAAACTTTTTATCACCGCTTCCCACCCTTCATTGCTATGCCCACTCTTTGTCGCTTCCTAGGCACAAATATATCATCAAGCATTTCATTTATTTTGATTTTGTAATTTTATAATTATCGTATAAGATTTATAACTATGAAATGTATACCTACAATATGTTGAAATTTACAGCATGTTCAACTGGTTTGAAATTGTCAAAAATTCATGCCAACCTGCTAGTTTGGAGGCCATGCATATTGGTGGTAGGTTAAGAAATTGTCAACCTGTTGAGAGCAGTTTGATTGAGATTATTTTTCCTAAATCAACCTCCACACAACTCCAATTCCAAGTTTAAATTTGATTTGTATATAAAATGTTCAATACATGGCTTGAATGTACCACTTGTGCCAATGAATTATTTGTTAGCACAAACGTAGCTTTCAATGTATTATCCCTAGCCTTTCAAGCTAATAATAAAGATTCTTACATACTTGTAATCAACTGGATTAGCTCGTACCTTCATCAAACTACAACTTTCATGTACATAGAATTTGTCTTATTAGACATATCCAAATAAGCATCAAGAAAGCTTAATTTTTTAGATTAGGTAGAAAAGGCATTTCAAACAAAAATGAACATTTATTTTGTTTGGTTTGAGGTTTCTAAAAACACTTTTTAGAAAATTCTACTTTCTTATTTTTCGTATTTTTTTTTTGTTTTTACTGATTTTTTTTTAATATTTGAAGCAATTTTTTTTTTTAATTTTTAGACATAGCTAACATAAATAACACTATAGGAAAAAGGGAATTTGGTGGCGTTTTTGTAACGACGTTTATTCAAACGTCACTGTTATTAGTATTTAACGGCATTTTATAAAACGCCGCGTATTCTATTACACAAAACGACACCGTTTTATAATGGGAGGCGTTTAAAAATGCCTCCGAATGCGGTAGCCACACGCGCCTCTTTTTTTTTTCTTTTTTTTTTTTTTGAACAATAACACGCACCTCCGAAACCTTATTTTGAATCCTTAATACATACGGACAGATCTCTCTCTCTCTCTCTCTCTCAACCCTTAATACATACGGATAGATCTCTGTCTCTCTCTCTCAACCCTCTCTAAGCTCTATCTAAGATTCAGATTGATTCAGATCGAAGCTCCATCAAAGTTTCAGATCTAAGCTTCATCGAAGATTCAGATTGAAGCTCCATCGCCTGCGATTTCGAAGCTCCATTGAAGCGATTTCGAAGATTCAGATTTGAACTCTGACCCCTCGATTACTCGCATTTCAACCTCCATTGAATAGTCTACTTTGTTTCTGAACTGTAATCGGTACTCGCTCTCTCTCTCTCTCTCGCTCTATTTCTGGTTTTTGGGAAAAATGAAGACTGTCTAGCTCTCTGTTTCTGAACTGTAAGAGGCAATGCTTGCTTTCCTTTGTATTCGGGATTAACATTTAAGATTGTCTAGCTCTCTGATTAATATTTTTCACTTACTCAAACAGAGCATAAATTGAAATGAGCATATGGAGTTATTTCAGGAGTAATCTCTATGGAGTTACTATTTATACCCCAATGCTTCAGCTTGTTGAGGTCTTACCAGTTGTTAGTCATGTTTCTAGTTTGTATTCTTATTTTTTTTTTAAATTCTTTGTATTGTTTTTTCTTTTTCCTGCAGTGCCATTTTCCAACCCAGAGGCTGGTATAGATGCCAGTTGTGAAACTAAGGCCCAGTGGCACCCCAGATGCTATGAAATCAGAGGGGAATGATTCACTTGACACTTTTATCAAACAGGCAATAGGGAAAGCGCCTCCCCTTTCTTTCTCAAGGACAGGAGACAACCCAGTATGTTTCATAGAGCAGGAATCACTCCCAGTATGTTTCCTTCTGGCAAAAGCTACATGGACAATGTTAAAACATGATTTTTGGATTTGGATATGTTATTTTGTGGGTAATGGTGATTGGATATTAATTGAATGAGAAACTGAATTAATGCTTTATTTGTTATTTGAATGGGAGTTATTATTTTATATCTTAGTTTTATTACAGGTATTTGAATGGGAGTTAATATTTTGTATGTTAGTTTTATTACAAGTATTTTTTTATTAATTGAATGAGAAACCAAATTTAATATTTTCTTACAGGTATTCTTTTTAATTTAATCAAATAAAATTAGCACAATCTCACCAAAAAAAAAAAAGAAAAAAAAAGAGAAAGATATGACGGCGTTTCTACAAACGCCTCCTAAACCCTCAATAGCAACGGTCATATTTTTTTACACAGACACAACGGCGTTTCAAAAACGTCGCTAAATATCGTTGGTGACGTCAGCGTGTGTATAGTGGGACATTTTGCGGCGTTTTTTAAAACGCCTCCTATACTAATATCACGATGTTTTTAAAACGTCGCAAAGCTACAGTCACGGCCGCAGCTTCAACGTTTGGTACTAAATGCCACAAAATGAATTAACGGCGTTTTTGATAGATATCGCGGCGTTTTTAAAACGCCACTAAAAGCCTGATTTCCAGCAGTGTAAACTTAAAAAGTATAATTTTCGTGAAAAGTTCACTAAATACCAAAAATATAAAAAAAATACAAAAATTCAGTATGTTTTTCATATTTTTGTGTCTTTATTAATTTTTTGAAATATTTTTCACAAATATTTTATTTTTTAGATACATCTAAGTAAGGTGCATTTAAAAAAGTTAAAAAAATACTTAAAATTTTAAAAATATTTACTAAAAATAAAAAAAAATACCAAAAATAAAAAACTTAATTTTTAAAAAATTAAATTTAAAAAATTAAAATCAAACATCATTAATTTTTAAAATAGGAGAGACCTTGGCTTGGTCGCGTAAGCAGTTGCTTGAGGCAGACACGTCGAACTTTCCAAAGACTTTAGTGCAAAGATTTTCATATGACTTCTTAAAACAACCTCCCCTAGCCACTTTAATAGATTTCATTGAGGGTTTTAAATTTTTTTTATTTATTATTAATCTATAATCTAATGACGAGTCCTTTTTTGTATTCATACATTTGGCCATTGGCCGGCGCATATGGATCACATTTGGGTGGGTTCTCAAATTGCTAAACCCATTTGCTAAGATGCTTTTATTTTATTTATTTTTTATTTTTCAATAGATAAGAAAGTAATTACATTATGAGAAATATTTAAATATTTATATTATTAAATAAATAGAGTATTAGTCTATAATAATTAGAAAGTTAACAAAATCTAACAATCAATTCACAATGTCCACCACGCCAGGTTCAATAACAATTACTAATTGTCTAACAACCAATCCACCATGCCCACCAAGCCAAGTTCAATATGATAGGATATGACACCAATCAGAGCAACCAGAACAGAGCAAGCCGAAGCAAAACCAATCCACTACAAGCAGTGCCAGCTCATCCAGTTTAACAGAATAATAACTGTATTAGTTAGTGGTTGTAACTAGCTGTGGTTAGAGTATGTTGAATTTAGAATTAGTTAGAACTAGAGTTAGATTATATGGTTATGAATGTATATAATTATCAATGTAGTCTGTTACTGTAAAGATATGATTGAAAAATAATATAGAAAATTCATTCATTCACTGAAATTCGTCATGGTATCAGAGCAGTGCCTGCTCTAGTGAGCTTCAGAGATGTCATCCATAGCGTCTTCAATGGCACCACCTACTCTTCCAGCAAATCTTGGTCTCTTGATTTCTAATGTCTCTTCTTTCATCAATGTAAAGCTTGACTCAACAAATTTCATAATCTGGAAAACACAGTTACAGAATATACTCAGAGCAACTGATCTTCTTAATATTCTTGATGAATCGTCTTCATGTCCTTTTCCTTTTGTTCTTGATTCAATTGGAAAAGAGATACCTAATCCTGAATTTTCTAAATGGAAGATGATTGATAATCATCTTCTCAGCTGTGTCACTGCTACTCTCTCACCATCGATTTTCACTTCGGTTCTTCATCTCAAAACCAGCTCTGAGGTATGGCTAACTCTGAATAAGCGGTTTACCTCTCTTTCTAGATCTCGTATCCACCAATTGAAGAATAAGATGAATTCAATTTCTAAGAAAACTGAGTCTATGAAACTCTACTTGAGTCATATCAAAGAATTGGCTGATCAATTGCATCTTGCCTCAGCTTCGGTTGATGATGAAGATATAGTTCTCATCACATTGAATGGATTGCCAAGTGAATATGATGCTTTTAAAACTACTATTAGAGCTCGTTCTGAAGGGATTACTATGGATTAATTATCTTCTTTATTGTGTTCTGAAGCTTTACATATTTAAGAGAAACAAAAGTCTTCTTCTGAGCTTTCTCTGGCCTATGCTGCTATGAAAGATAATGCTTCTTCTTCAAAAGGTTTTTCTACATATCATCATGGCAGATCTAACTACAGAGGAGATTCTCGAGGTAATTACAGAGGGAATAGGTCTGGTGGTAGATATTCTTTTCTTCTAGAGGAAGGTATCAGTCCAAAAATCACAATCAAATTCAATTTACTTTTGGTTCGGTTTGTCAGATTTGTGGCAAGCCAAATCATTCTGCATTCGAGTGTTGGCATTGCATGGATCCTCATTTTCAACTATCAAATCAGTCTTCTCTACAGCATTTTCCTGCTTCATTTGGTTCTAAAGCTTACACTATATCTACCTCTGAAGTTGTTTCCCAGAATTGTTCTCTTCAGCCGTGGTATCTTGACTCTGCTGCTATAGATCATATTACTAATGATCTTGGGAATTTGACTACCTATCAACCTTACTCTTGTTCTGAGAAAGTCACTGTGGCTGATGGCTCTTCTCTACCTATTCATCATACTGGTTTAGGTCTTTTATCTGCTCCACATCATTCTTTCAAACTCAAAAGAGTGTTGCATGTTCCTTCTCTTTTTTCTAATCTTCTTTTTGTTCAGTAACTAGCCAAAGACAATAATTGTTCTATTATTTTTAATAATTCTGCCTTTTCTATTTAGGATAACAATACCAAAGCTACACTTCATAAAGGCTTCCATACTCATGGTCTTTATCATTTTCCTTTGCATTCTTCGCTTCAAGCATTTCACAGCACCACTGCTTCTCCAGATTCATTCATGCTTTGGCATCAAAGGCTCGACCATCCTTCAGCTTCCAAGTTTCAACATCTTCATAAGTTTTTGAATGTACCTTTAGGTTCAAATAAAACTTCATTTTCTTGTGTTGATTGTTCTATGTCTAAGAGTCATCGGTTGCCTTTCAAATTATCTAATTCTCATGTAAATCAACCATTAGTTCTTATTCATAGTGATGTTTGGGGTCCCTTTCAACCTGTTGGTTCTACTTCCATCTATAAATACTATGTGTTGTTTGTTGATGATTACTCTCGCTTTACTTGGCTTTATCCTTTGAGTTATAAAAGTGAGGTTTACTCTAAGTTCTTGGAGTTTAAATCTTTTGTTGAAAAACAATTTGGATTTCCTCTCAAAATCCTTAGGACAGATGGTGGTGGAGAATTTATCAATCATCAAATGGAACATTTTATCAAAACAAATGACATTTTGTATCAACAATCTTGCCCTCATACACCCTCTCAAAATGGTATTGCTAAAAGGAAACACATGCACATTACAGAAACTGCTATTGCTCTTCTCCGTCAGTCTTCTTTACCACTCACCTACTGGTTTGATGCTATTGTCACTGCCATTTTTGTTATTAATAGGCTTCCTAGTGCTTCCTTGTCTCATGCTTCCCCTTTTCAACTTTTATTTCACACTTCTCCAGATTATTCTTTGCTTAAAGTGTTTGGTTGCCTTTGCTATCCTTGGCTTCGATGTTCTTCCACTCATAAGCTACAACCTAAATCTAGCCCTTGTGTATTTTTGGGTTATCATCCATCCATTAAAGGTTACAGGTGCTTCAATTTGCAAACTGGTCAAACTCTTATTTCTAGACATGTTTTCCATGAAACAAATTTTCCCTTTTCTACTACATCTCTTACATCTACTACACCTATTCCATCTACTCTCTCTTCCTTCTTTTGGTCTTCTTCTCCTAAGTCTGCTCCTCCACAGCCTCAGCATCCCATGCCTCCTTCTTAGTCTCTTCTGCTGCCCTCACAGCCTCTGCCTACTCAATTTCCACTTTCCCAACCTACTCAATTGTCCCCACAGCCTGTTCAGTCATCTCAGTTGCCTCAACAGTTCTAGTAGCCTTGACTGCCATAGCAATCTCCGCTACTTCAGCAGTCTCACCAACCTCTTATCCCTATTAATTCCATTGCTATTCATTTACCTCTTCCTACTTCCTCTTCTACTTCTAACACTCATAGTATGCAAACCCGATCCAAGTCTAAACTTTCCTTTTCTCTTCCTTCTTCTTCTTCTTCTTCTTCTTCTTGTTTTCTTACTTCTAGTCCTTCTCCTGCTTCTTCAACTGAACCTCTTTCTTACAAATCATCTCTTACCTCTCATGTTTGGTTTCAAGCCATGTCAGATAAATATTCTGCCTTATAACTGCAGCACACTTGGTCCTTGGTTCCTCTTCCACCAGCTAAACAAGCCATTGGGTGTAAGTGGGTTTTTAAACTTAAAAAAAATTCTGATGGCACTGTGGCTCGACATAAAGCCCGCCTTGTTGCGAAGGGATTTCTTCAAGAACATGGCATTGATTTTCAAGACACTTTCAGTCCTGTTGCTAAACAGCCCACCAAATGCATTCTTTTATGTGTAGCTTTGCACTCTAATTGGTCTTTAAAGCAATAAGACATCTCCAATGCGTTTCTCCATGGTCGTTTGGAAGAGGTGGTCTAAATGGTTCAACCTCCTAGCTTTGTTGATCCTTCTCACCTACAGTTGGTCTGTAAACTTCATAAGGCTTTGTATGGCCTCAAACAGGCACCTCGGGCTTGGTATTCCACATTTTCCTCCTTTCTTATCTTCCAAGGTTTTGTCATAAGAGTCAATGTGACAACTCATTGTTTGTTCACAAAACTTCTACCACTATCACCTACTTGCTCATTTATGTCGATGATGTACTTCTCACTGGAAATGACTCCGCTTATATTCAATCCTTATTAACACAAATGCACAAGGCTTTCTCCATGAAAGAGTTGGGTTCCATTTCCTATTTTCTGGGCATATCCGTTACTCATTCTTCCCTGGGTTTCTTTCTTTCCCAGTATAAATATGCTTCTGACTTTTTGGTAAAAGCTGGTATGGTGGATTGTAAATCTTGTACCACTCTAGTCTCTAGCAAGCCTTCTTCTTCTGCGGCTGATGCTCTTCCTTGCTCTAATCCCTTTCTTTATCGTAGTATTGGCGATCTTCAATATCTGACTATTATGCGGCCTAAATTAGCCTATACTGTGAATCAAGCCTGCCAATTTATGCATTCTCCTTCTAATGCTAATTTTTCTGCTGTTAAGCGGATTCTCCGCTATGTTAAGGGTACCTTGTCTCATGGTCTCACCTTTTCTCCTAGCTCATTTCAGTTGCAGGCCTTCACAGATTTCAATTGGGCTAGTGATCCTTTCGATCGGCGCTCTACTTCCAGCTACTGCATTTTTCTTGGGCAAATCTCATCTCTTGGTCCTCTAAAAGGTAGGCTACTGTGTCCCGTTCCTCCACTGAAGCTGAATATCGGGCTTTAGCGCATACTGCTGCTGAGGTCACTTGGTTGCAAATGCTCTTAGCTGAGTTTGCCATTTCTCTTCCCTCTCCCCCTATCATTTGGTGATAATCAATCTGCTCTTTCCTTTGCTGCCAATCCAGTTTTCCATAGTTGTTCCAAACACATCGAAGTCGATTGCCATTTTGTGCTGGAAAAGGTTGATGCCCATTAGTTAGTTCTTCTCTATATTCCTCCCTTGGATCAAATTGCGGATGTGTTCACCAAACCTCTTTCCACTACCAGGTTTCAATTCCTCACACACAAACTTTTGGTGTCTCTTCCACTCATTCGCTTGCGGGGGGATGATAGGATATCACACCAATCAGAGCAACCAGAGCAGAGCAAGCCGAAGCAACACTAATCCACTACAAGCAGTGCCAGCTCATCTAGTTTAACAGAATAATAACTGTATTAGTTAGTGGTTGTAACTAGTTGTGGTTAGAGTATGTTGAGTTTAGAATTAGTTAGAACTAGAGTTAGATTAGATGGTTATGAATGTATATAAATATCAATGTAGTCTGTTACTGTAAAGATATGATTGAAGAATAATATAGAAAATTCATTCATTCACTGAAATTCATTACAATAATCACTGCTAATCATATACAACCCTTATAATGGAGAAGAAATAAACCAATCACCATAAAAAGATGTCAAATTCCACTCCATAGGAGTTAAACCTAACATCACATATCACAAAAAGTTCTATACAACCATTAAGCCAAATGCCTTTGTTCATTTGATAAGAAGTTCAAACCCTATAAAGAGGGGAAATTTATGATTTGCATTCTTAAAAATGGGTATATTATAAGAAGATTATGAGTTTTGTTCGGATTGTAGGTATTTAGAATAGTGCGCATAAGCTGACTCAGGATGCTTTATACACAACACAACACACACATACACACACACACACATACACACACACACAAAAAAAAAAAAAAAAAAAAAAAAAAAAAAAAATCAAAGTTTAAAATATTTTGGATATTGATAGTTGTGGTTAAAGAATTTTGAAACATTTGACATTAAAATGAGATTTTATTTTATTAAATTTTACAAATATTAAATTTTTTTAGAAAAGCTAGTCACCTAAAAAAATTGTCTAGTCACCTAAAAAAATTGTCTAGAAACTTATCAAAGAAGTGATACGTGATCTAAACTCAATTCTTATATGATGGTATGATAAGTTTCACAGTTAAATGAATCTCAAGTACACAAATTAATATAATTTATTAAAAAAAAAATTCGTTGTGAGCTTTGCACAATAAGTTAAGTGACTTAATTAGTTTTTTTTTTTTTTTTTGAACGGCAAAAGAGATCTTTATTGATGAAACAAACGAAGAACATCAATAAAGAGGAGCTTGGAGCTAACAGAAGCTCCAAGCTCCAGTTGGTGAGAAGCGAACAAACAAGAAAAGCAAAAGAAATAAAGCAAGAGAGAGCAAGAAAAACAACGAAAACAGAGCTACATGAAATGCAAACCCAACTCAGATCTTTGTTACCATGCTATGAACACTAACAACCAGAAATCACCCAGAAGAGTGCAGACCATCACACTTTCCAGCAGACAAAGCTCCAGCAACCAAACAGAGTACAGAACGAAGAGAACCAGTGTACATTGAATGCAAAAGCCACTACTGCCATGAATGCCATCAAACCCTTGCAATGATCAAACACCTCATGAACGAAGGCGTTACCTAACACCAGAAATATTGAAGAGAAGGTCATTAATGGAGAACGAAAAATCTTTAGTAGAGGACTTTAACTTGATAGCAAGCCTGATGATAATGAGATCCTGCAACACCTGAGTGTTTAATTGGGAGGCTTGAAAGAGGTACTCATTTCTGATCTTCCAGATGGACCAGAGTGTGACCAATGGTATGGCACGCCAAATTCTCCTATCCTTTTTCTTACAGATGTACCCTGCCACCACTGCAGCAAATCCTCAACAGAACCAAGGACCACCCAAAGAATTCCCCACCATTGTAGTAACCCAGTCCAAGTCCTCCACACCATAGGGTAATGAATCAGAACATGATAGATTGTTTCCTGCTATGTTTTATAGAAAAGACATGAGGTGGAAGCCAACGTATCCAATACACCAATCCGTTGCAAGAATACAGATGTTTTAACCTTGTGTTTCCATGTGAGCCAACCAAAAAAATTGCACTTTGGGAGGCAGATAGTTGAGCCAAATCAAACCACTTGAACTAACAGGGTTACCAAAGGCAAGGTTAAAATGTTTATAGAGAGTGGAAACAAAGGACTGACCAGGTTTAAATGCTACCCAATCTGCACTGTCTTCTATACCCAGATTCAAAGAGGGAGGTGCTGCTAAGGTGACAAGAAGTCGGTGAAGCTCTTCCTTTTCCCATTCAAAGAGAGATCTCCTACAGGTAAGCAACCAGTTTGCAGCTGAGTTTGTCACAAATTCCTTAAGCAGTCCCTCCTAGTTATTGGACAGTTGAAAGAGTCTAAGAAATCCATCTTTGAGGCTAAGAGCCCCACTCCAATGATCATACCAAAATTGGATTCTACAGCCATTCCCAACTTTTAAATGAAGGTTACTAACATAGAACAATAAGAGGGATTCTTGCTTATCAGTTGTTGCCACAATGCCACCCTAGATTCTTGAATAATAATTATTGCTTGAGCTGAGGTTTGGAAGCCATGTCCCTCCTTGAAACTTGTATTTACTATATAAGACCCTCTTCCATAATGAATCATGATCATAGGCAAACCTCCACCACCGCTTGAGTAGTAAGCACACATTCACATCCCTTATTCTTTTGATGCCCAATCCTCCTTGTTTTATGTTCTTCGTTACCTCTGACCATTTTACAAGATGAATTCCCCTCTTTAGATCTAGGCCTCCCCATAAGAATGAAGCTTGAATTTTGTCTATCTCCTTAGCTACTCCTTCAGGTAACTTAAATAGAGATAAATAAAATACTGGCAGACATGACAACACAGCTTTCACCAAAGTCAACCTCCCTGCAAAGGAGAGAAACCTCCTTTTCCATCCAGCAAGCCTCATTTTGAATTTATCAACAGCTGGTTTCCACATCCTCATTCTTTTGGGATTAGCACCTAGAGGCAATCCAAGATACTTGAGCGGTAAACTTTGAGTCTTGCAATTCAGTAGATATGCAAACTCCTCAAGAGCAATGACAGAAATACCAACCCCACAAACCACACTCGTATGATAATTGATTTTGAGACCTGAGGCTACCTCAAAACACTTGAGAATCCTTTTCAAACTAAGGACTTCTGATATCTCAGCTTCACAAAACAGAAGAGAGTCATCTGCAAATTGGAGATGGGACAGATGAACTTGATTATTTCCAATGATAACCCCTTTGAGTAGATTTAACTCCCTAGCTCTTTGAAGGAGAATGTTTAGTGCTTCTACAACCAAGTTAAAAAGAAATGGGGATAGAGGATCACCTTGTCTAAGGCCTTTTTGAGGATGAAAGTCCTTAGTTGGTGAGCCATTAACAAGGATTGAAATTCTTGCAGTAGAGACACATTCCTTAATCCATGAAATCCATTTGGATCCAATCCCAAAGTTTGCTAACATTGAGAGAAGAAAGTCCCAATTGATAGAGTCAAAAGCCTTTTCAAAATCTAACTTGAGTAGCAGCCCTGTTTTCTTGGATTTGAGCTAGCCATCTACAACTTCATTTGTAACCAAAACTCCATCCAAAATGTTTCTACCTCCCAAGAAAATTGATTGTGAGTCACCAATAATCATGGGCATAACTTTTTTGAGTCTAGATGCAAGGACTTTAGAGAGAATTTTGTACACAAAACCAACAAGGCTTATAGGTCTGTACTCATTTAAAGTGATAGCTTTCTCTTTCTTTGGAATCAGTGTGATGAAGGTACTGTTATAACCTGTTGCCAAACTGCCACTAGTATGGAAATCCTTCATAAAGTTGAGCACCTCCTCCTTAAGCATCTTCCAAAACTTTTGAAAAAAACATCAGATTAAATCCATCTAGCCCAGAAGCTTTGTTCCCATTACAATCTATTACAGCTGCCCAGGTTTCTTCTTCAGTGAACTCTGCCTTAAGCAAACGAAAGTATTTACTAAGCCTTACACTCTTGAAATCCCCTACAAGAGCTGGTCTATTCTTCCAAGTTTCAGAGAAATGATTAGAAAAGTATGTCTACACTTCTTTTTTGACTTGATCTGGTTCCTCAAAGACAACATCCCCCACTGTGATGGAATTAAGAGAGTTTCTATTTTGCCTACTAGTAGCCATAATATGGAAAAATCTTGTATTTTTATCACCTTTCATATTCCAATCTTGCCTAGATTTTTGAAGCCATTCCCATTCCAACTTCTTGCTCAACATCCACATTTCATTCCTTTTCTCTCTTTGCTGCTTTAGTTCTTCCTCTACCAAAGGCCTATTCTTAGCTTTCAAATCAATCTAATGAAGTTCATATTCAATAGCTTGCAGCTTAGTTGAAACATCACCATAGACCTCTTTACTCCATTTTTTTAAAGCCAACTTGAGGGTATGTAATTTTTTCTGAAAGATAAAACCAGCAGACCCTGAGAACTGTGAGTCCCTTCAAATTTGCTCTACAAAAGATCCAACTTCAAATGCAACATCCAAGAATTTAAGAACTTAAATGGTTTAGGCCTCCAATCTCTAACATCCTCCATATGTACAATACGGTAGTGATAAGATGAGATTCTAGGAAGACCCCACTGATTGAATTTAAATTTTTCCAGCCATTTAGGACTAAGAAGGAACCTATCTATTCTGCTCCATTTATGGCCATCAAATGCATTGCACCAAGTGTATTTTCTGCCAAGCAATGGAAGATCAACTACCTCACATCTGTCAATAAAATTGTTGAAATCCTTCATACCCCTATCCTTGAGTGATACACCAGCTCTTTTCCTTGTATTTCTAATCTCATTGAAGTCACCACCAATACACCAAGGCTTGGGGAAATAAGCTT